ATGTTCTCATTTCATTCCCCACCCCTCCCCCCTGTCGTTATGTCTTAGTGACAATAAATTATAATTTGTGCTAATTTAATAAAAATCTGCAAACAAATTCTATATGAAGACTGGTTTTATTTTATGCTCAATGGAAAGTAAATAAAATCAACTGAATATATTTAAAAACTGAAAAAAATAAAGATTGGTTTCTATATAAAGTTAGTTAGTTAGTTAGTAGCTGGCAAAGGACGTCAGATGTAAAGTATTTTCTTTATTTTCCTTAGAATCGTTAAAAGGAAGTTATCATGTCCTCGTACGATTTTCTATTCAACAGTGCGCCTTTAGTCTACACATTGTATCAGTGATAATTTTAGGGAATACCTCAATTTTCACTTATATTAGAGATAGCTATACTTACTTATTCACTTAAAGGACTCCTAGTTGCTCATAGCTGTCTTCATATCGCTGATAATTTATACAGATTTCACTTTCAAGAAGAGTTAATTTTTATGTATATGTTGTAAAACCTTTAGTATGCTTATGGTGAATATTTATTTTGGGTCATAATTATAAATGTGGAGAGTGTTAAAGCTTCGATTAAGCCATATCATATTTATTGTATTTTCTCCATTTAATTAATGTTAATTAAAATTGTGAATGCAGGTAATTGATGTTCGTGTTTTGTTCTTTTAAGGGTAGCTGTAGAATTGTCTTAAAGTTTTATTTGAAACAAATTACTAATTAATCAACGTAAAATTGTGTATATCTTATTTAAAATGTGTATGCAACCTAAATTTATGGTTTATTCCATACTGATATAAACTAAATAATATTGCTAAATAAGTTAGTGGCCATTTTTATTCAAAAGGATTTTTAAAACTTTTTTTTAAAAACGCCTTTTAGATTATCTTTAAGATTATTTACTTGTTTCAGATTATTTTTAGTAATTTTCTAAAGAGAGAATATATCTGCTCATAGTCCGACTATTCATTTCAAATGCTGTAACTAGCCTGCAATTGCTGAAAGCAGACTATTTGCTGTATAAAATATTTAATCTCTACATTAGTGAAATAAAACAATTATAGCATATTCCAGGATTTGTAAAAGAAACATTAAACATATATTTAAGTACTTTAAATTAATTTAATATACCAGGATATTCGCACTGCTTTATTTTTATTTTTAACAAGTTGCATGAACTTCCTAGTGTGAAGCAAGCTAGCAGCTTCTAAGCTTTTATTTAGCAATTGCATAAAGTTATACACAATGCAACTTTATAGTATATAACAGCAAAAAGGATATAAGGATAAACAGCAATGTTTGTTTTCAATGCTAAGCTCATTTGTGTTGTGGAAATGGAAAAACAAAAATAATGGACAAACATGGACTGGATTGTTATATCCTTAAAGTTCACACTCTACTACATGTTCTGAATATAAAGCCAAGAAAGTAAGCTTTCATATGCAGTTTCTAACTTAAAAACAGAAAGTAGTTTAAATTTCTGTTGATAGGAAATGGAGAAGGAAACTATTTACTTGTCACTAGGAAAATTGTATATTTTAAAAATTGAAATAATAAAAAAATAAACTCATAAGAGTAGCAAATAGTTTTAAAACTTTTAGTTAAATTTCTAAAGCAAAATATTTCACATTTCACAAAACTTCACACAATGACTTTTTCATTTTAAAAGATTTTAATATATTGGGTGAGGAAGATACAATTTTTCAACCATAAATAATTCTTTGTATTTTTGCCATTATTTTTCTCTTCTGTTTTTCTTATAAGTGTTATTTGGAGACATGTTTCCTTTTTAATCTATTTTTTCTCTCATTTTAATCTGTTTCAACTTTATCATCTTCTTAATTAACGAAACTATCACTTTTGCAGTAGTTTTCTTCAAGTAAAAAATCTTCGAATAGCCATGGATATTAGAAGAACAGAAATGAAAAAGTGATAGTTTCCGAGTCTTCGGATGAATATTTTGAATATGCAACTAGAATATGCAACAAGAAAAAACTATTGTCAATACGATAGTCACAATAGAGAACTCGAAAACTATTACAAATTCATAATGAATTGAGGAGCTATCATTTTTTTATAGTTCTTGAATTAACTTTTCTTTTGAAATGATTATCAACTACTTTACAAAAACTGTTGCAAAAAAATTTTATCATGACTGAGTTAATTGAGTTGTTTCATTTGAATACCTTTTAAGCTCATAATAGGGTTCTGCTTATATTGATTTAAAAATGCTCTCAAAATATCGCATATCTATAAGCCACCTTACTTACATGTTCATACCATGTATTATAATATGTAAATTTTTATTAAATTAACAATACAAAACAGATCCTTATTTGAAGAACTGTCAAATTCGTAACAGTCATTATTTGGTCTGAGAAACCAAACAATTGTACCAACAGTTTTTAAGAGCTGTCAAAAACTATCTTAATAAATCACTGTACATCAAAAATTGTTCATTTGAGTTAGTGGTTCCCAACCTTTTTTTGAGCAAGGCCTACTATGATATATATTTTTAGTAGGGACCACAAAGTTTAAGAATCATATACTGCATGATTATTTGAATGTGAGTTATGCATCTATGGTTTAATGTATAATGAATTATATAAGTGCAAGAGTACATTATATAGGCCATAAAATAGGTGTATAATTACCTTGAAGTGTTTTGTGCTTATTTTCTAATAAGTGAGTTCTCAGCAGACAAACTACAAGCTATGTAACTAAACATGTTAAATTTAATTCACGAACAATTTTTAACTATCTCGCGGACCACCTGTGACTCGAAGACCAACTATGAACCGCAGACCACCACTTGAGAACCAGTCATTTAAATAGTCGGATATCAAAGTTTAAGGCGTTGAGCATTATTTATTTTAATGCATTATTCGATATTTTATTTTAAAAGAACTTTGAAAAATATGGTGCTTCAAATTTAATTCCTCTCCTCTCGGTTTTATTTTATCTGTCCTCCAATTTTATTTATACTATGTTCAGAGATTTAAAAAAAACTGTAAAATATTATTATTTAAAGATTCATTAAAAAAGTTTATGTCAAAAGAAATATTTTGTCGCAAAGAATATTTGAATCTTTTTGCAAACCCTGCCTTGAATTTAGTATAGAAAATAAAACTGCAAGTTGTCTTCAATATGGCCATATTGTCCAATTCTTTTTTTGACCATCATTTTTATGTCTAATATTGGCAAAGTTGTTCCAATTTACTTGGATTGTTGCGGAGCCAAATTTTTTTAGTATTTATTTTTTGTAATAAATTTTAATATTACAAACTAACTAAGCCTTTAAGCCTTCGGAGAACACTATAAATTATTTATTTCATTTTATTTATTATAAATTTTAAAATATGAATTTATTATTGTTTGTAAGTTTTGTTGGCATTCAAATGCAATGCTTCATAATTTTTTAGATAGATACGCCTACGACTAAAGAATAAGTCTCTTGTAATCTACTTAGGTTTGGCAATAATTTTAAGTGTTTTTTTCTCCAACTCCATAAAAGTGACAACTATAATTTATTATAGATTTATAATCTAGCGCATAGGGATAGAAAGAAATTAAGGGTATGTATTTGCATGAGTGGTAAATAGTAAAAGTTTCTTTAAATGTATCATCTACAATCAAGGCGAATAGAATTAAAATAATTACTTATAATTACTACTGAAAATCTGAGCCCAAGAAATGTCCAAGGCTGCAGATCTGGTATCGTTGAATCAATTTCGTTTCATAGTAGTCTTAAATCAAACAGTTCGTTCTTGCCTGCAGTTATTTTGTATATTATACTGAATACTACATGCCGTTTAATAGTATTTTCATCTCCTTTCCAGCTTGCACCTTTATTGAATATTTAATCTTATAAAGTGTTGACTAATGATGATATTGTTGTCATCACGACTTGAAGATAACTGAGTACTTGCTCAGCAATGTTAATTACTTGCACGACATGATGTTTCCTAATTGAAGTCATGCAGTTTGCATTTAAATTGCAGTGGAGAATACCAAACACAATATCAGATAATTGAAAATTTAATGTAAATAATATGCACATTCAACTTAATTTAAATCCATTGTACTATACATTTATATTAGACGAATAATATCTACTACAATGATTGGAGTATACATTATTGATGTTTTGCATTCGATTTCATTTTAATCCGATTTTCATTTTAATGAAATAATATCTCAATTTAATTTTTAGTATTATTCGAATTTATCTACAATATATCGCTGCTTTATCTACAAAAGTTGAAACACTTTCAACTTCATTATAAACTAAGAAGAAATTGTGACCCTGCAAAAATAAGTTAAATGATTTTCAAAATAGAGGTCTTATGTTAGTATGATTTCTAATGATGTATTTTTTTTATTGTCACCATTAGGAAAATTTATTAGATACTACATCAGAAACAATGGACTCTATTTTCAACAATTTTTTACAAATATTTTCAAGTGGATTTATTGCCACTAAGAAAATTGGTTTGAACATTTTCAATCATAATTTGAGGTTCAAGTTGCTACCATAAGGACACTCAATAAATTTCACAAGTTTGCGAGTAGCTCATTGCTTTTGAGATCCTATCTCTGCTGTGCAAAATCAATTTCTAAAGTGGATTCAGCGTCAAAAATGAAAAGAAACTCAAAGTATGTAATATGAATAATGATTGAAACGGAGGAGTGTTCTAGGAAAATTGCAGATGTTCCTTTAAGTAACGTTGTTTAAAGTTACTAACACTTCATTTCCAATATTGGAACGTTTAGTTTTACTGTTCGGGTAAGAGCTTAATATCATTTTTGATATAGATTATAGTTCAACATAGTATTAGCTAAAGTTAAACTTTAAAGTTAATATGATTAAAAATGTTTTTAATTAAATATTGTTAATAACAATAAATGATATTTTTAAAAAATATAACTAAATATTTTGTTACTTATAAATAGTATAAAAATTACTTTGAATAGAATGCAATAATATTATAAACATAATTAATTAAATATAAAAAACGGCATTTAATTAATATTATTGATAAGCAATAACAAGCATCCATTTTACTTGACATTAACTGCTAAAGTTGCAGCTTTCTTCACAGCATCTTCGAGGTCTCCAACCATATAAAACGCAATTTCCGGCATATCATCTAATTCACCATTCAATAAGCGTTTGAAACCTTCTACAGTTTTTTTAACGGATACTATTTTACCAGGATGACCAGTAAATACTTCAGCCACATTAAATGGTTGCGATAGGAAACGTTGAATTTTACGGGCTCTAGATACAGTTATCTTATCTTCTTCAGATAATTCATCCATGCCCAAAATTGCGATTATGTCCTAATAAATATAAGTAAAACAAAATTATAAATATCCTATTATTTCTTAAACATAAGTGATTAATTGTGTCGATTATGAACAAATATTACAATAAATAAAATACCTGTAAAGATTTATAGTCCTGCAAAGTTTTTTGTACACCTCTAGCAACATTGTAATGATCCTCACCGACTACGGTTGGATCCATTATTCTAGAAGTAGAATCTAATGGATCAACTGCTGGATATATGCCTAATTCAGCAGCTTGTCGTGATAATACTGTAGTTGCATCAAGATGTGCAAACGTAGCAGCTGGTGCAGGATCAGTTAAATCATCAGCTGGTACATAAACGGCTTGCACTGAAGTAATGGAACCATTTTTAGTACTCGTAATACGTTCTTGCATAGTACCTGCGCATTAAAAAGAAAATTCTATTCATTCGCAAAAACAAAAAAAATTTTGTCAATACCCATATCAGTGCCTAATGTGGGTTGATAACCTACAGCTGATGGTATGCGACCCAATAGAGCTGATACTTCTGAACCTGCTTGTGTAAAACGGAATATGTTATCAATAAACAATAAGACATCTTGTCCTTCAATATCGCGAAAATACTCAGCCATTGTTAAACCAGTTAATACAACTCTAGAACGTGCACCGGGTGGTTCATTCATTTGACCATACACCAACACTACTTTCGATGAGTCATCTTTTAGCGATATAACTTTTGATTCAATCATCTCATTATATAAATCATTACCCTCACGGGTACGTTCACCGGCACCCACAAAAACTGAATAGCCGCCATGTTGTTTTGCTATATTGTTAATCAGTTCCATAATAAGAACCGTTTTACCTACACCAGCTCCACCAAATAAACCAATTTTGCCACCCTTTACATAAGGTGCCAATAAATCAATAACCTAAGCATGGAATATTTAACCAAATTGTGTTTAATACGATATAATATCTTACCTTAATACCAGTATCTAAAATAGTTGGATTAACATTTAAGTCTACCATCTCCGGCGCTTCAGCATGAATGAAAGAATAAAACTCAGTTTTAATTGGACCGCGATCATCTATAGGATCGCCTATAACATTTAAAATTCTACCCAAAGTCGCTTTACCAACAGGCACACGAATAGGATAGCCTGTATCTACAACTTTTTGTCCTCTACGCAAACCTTCAGTACTGTCCATGGCGACAGTGCGCACAATATTATCAGCAAGATGATGAAAAACCTTCAATAGGTGTTGACATAAAACATTCGTATTGTACGCAATAAGGATAAAATTTATTATTTTAGTTATGTTAAAATTGTGTACCAACCTCTAGGACCAACCGTCCTTTGTAATCTGGAACTTCCATAGCATTTAATATATCAGGTACGTCATGTTCAAAATACACATCCACGACCGGACCAATAACGGAATGAATTTTACCTTCTATAAGTTTTTTAGGTTGTATCTTACCAGCACTTCCAGCACCTCCTGCTCCTCCTTCTCCTCCTTTTCCTTCTCCTCCTTTTCCTCCTCCTCCTCCGCTTGTATATTTTGCGCAAGGGTCTTCAGCTTCAGATTCGTCTGGACATTCTTCTTCGGCTTCAGTGTCATCACTACATTCATCTTTTTTCGTTTCACAGTCATCTATGAAGTCATATAATACAGTTTAATTTTATCAACATCTTTATCATGATTACTATATATAAATCATTATAATGAAAAATTATTTTACTTTCCTTTGGGAGATAAAGAGAACATGGTAATTGCTCATACCTTTATCTTTTTCATCAAAACGTATTGTAGTTGTTTTCAGATTCCGAATCAAGATTTTGCTCTGTGGGTATTGGAATTGATTAACGAGAAGTGACTTGTGAATCACAGCAATAGAACGAGCTTAAAAGGGAATAGTTTCATATATATTTCAACACATAGCTAAGATTTTATATATTTATATAATGCTGTATTTTTTTTACCGTTAGCTATTGGAATTACCCTTTTCAACTGCTTTAAGAAATACATGTTTTTAAACTAATTGTTTAAGTTTTAAAAATATTATGGTTTTTCTTTGAAATTTGAAATTTCCTAAACTACAAAAAATATATAAATTTCTTCAATAAAATTCTATTTTTAGATTTTGAATCAGATAACTTGATATTATTTATAATTTAATAATTAATGTTAAATAATGCAACAGATAATAAAGCCACAGTCAACTTTTATATACACATCCAACATCATGTGACAAAAGAGAAATATTGAATATTATTGGATATTGAAATATTGGATTTTGAACATCCAGTCAAATATTGGAACTGCACTGTTCGATAGCCGTACACTGAGCAAGCGCTTAAGTTCATTCGTATAAAATATGAATACGTACAGTAGTATGACTACAGTATATAGTAAAGAATAATAAGTATGAATAAGTACAGTAAATAAAACTCATTTTTTTTTTTGAATGTAGTACTAGATAAAATCAAGGTATCTTATAGGACCATCATTGTTTTTAAACCAAAAAAATTTTATATATTAAATACTATATAGGTTACTCTAGCCCGAATATCTTTGTTTTCATAATGAATTTAAAATGTCCGAGAGAGAAAAATAGAGAGAGAAAGAGACAGAACAGCGAGAGAGAGAAAAAAGAGAGAAAGAGATAGAGGAACAGAAAGAGAGAGGGAAGGAGACAGCGAAAAAGAAGAAAAAGAGAAAGGAAAAGAGAGAGAATCAGAGAAAAAAAGAGAGATAGAGAAAGGGAGGGAGAGAAAGAGAGAGGGAGAAAGAGAAAGAGGAAGCATAAGCACTCCTCATTCTAAAGTTATCACACAATTCAATTATGTACGAGTAATTTTTACGAATATTGAACAATAACAAGGAAAGTGCTCTGTTTTTTTTTTATTCTTAATAGCAGTCATGTGGAATCTACCTGTTTTGTGTCCTTTGATGTCTCTGATCAGTACTCAGAACTTTTTTCTATTCGATTGTACTAAAAATCACATTAGAGTATTTCTAGATACTTTTACAAAGTTGTTCGTATCTTCCAAGCTTTCATTTGAAAATACTTTGATTTGTGGGTAAAACTTTTACAGATATCACAACGATTAGGTAGGAAGTATTTCTGCAGTGAAAAGGACCAGTGGTGGGCCAGTGGCGTTCTAGCTGAGCTCATAAACTTAAACAGATATTACTACTATACGGCTACACTACAATAAAAATGAAGACTATCTAATAGGGTACATAAAAAAGGACAGTCTATGAGATGAAGAAGATAATAAGAAGGATGGTATGTTTGACACAATGAAGTTTTTTGAGTATAATACCTTTCTAGCACAATATTGTAATATTGAGCTCAGAAACAATTTATTTACATTTCTAATCTTATCGTAAACACAATGCGAATATATAACAATATAAATTAATTGAACTAAAATAACGAAAATAAAGATAGAGAAGGCGAAGAAAAATACTTATCTTCGGACTCAAAATAAGCTGACATTTTACTAAGTCCGTTCTGATTGGAGATAAAATTGCTTCGCTGAAGTATAATTATTACGTCTACAAAACGGTATTAGCCACGACAATTGGCTTTAAATAGCAAACTGATATAAAATTAATTCAAAGGTTGATTCGTAAATTTTTTTCATATTGGTACCTGTACCTCGATCACATTTAAATTTAGTCAAATATAGACAAATTGTTGTTTTTGACAGAGCATAGCCACTACAATATTTTTGAAGCTATTACTGCTTGGAACAATATTTTCTGTCACGAAAAAGCAAAAATTCCGATTTATCTATGATTTCGTGAATTGTAATAGTATTATTGCTAAAGGTATTATAAGACAATCAATTAGAAGTCAGATTATTGTGATACTGTGTTTCTTTATGAATTTAGTTTTAGATTCTAAGAAGTTATTGTTTGATATAATATAAGACAATCATAATATAATTTGCAATCACGTCTGTAATTATGTCGGGCTAAAATCGTTTAATCAGCAAAAACCAAAATATATACTGAAATAAAAATCCACAGTCTATGTAACCAGTTCAATATTGATAATACAAGTCTTGAAGTGGTACAGAATTCTAAAGAAGACACATCAGCTGCGATACAAGATAGAATTCAGGCAGCAAATAAGACCATACTACGTACATTATAAAACTTTTTAAATCTAAAATCTTTTCAAGACCAGAAAAACTGTACAAATGTTTAATTAAACCAGTCCTGACGTACGACTGTTAAGTAAGGACACTCAAAGCAAAAAAAACTTGGCAACTACCATCCCACGAGCGGAATGTAGTGAGACAGATTTTTGACCCAATACGTCTAGATGATGGCACATATCGTATTCGCTACAATCACGAATTAGACAATTCAATCGACAATCAGAATGTGTTACGATATATAAAATCACAACGACTCATATGACTAGGATACGTTCAGCATATGAACCGATAACGATCAGAGAAACAAGCACTTATAAGAAACCCAATAGAATTCCGACAAAAATACAGACTTAAAAAGATGTGGGTAGATGGTGTTGAAAAGTTTTAATTCAGCTAAGCGTGAGTGATTGAAAAACTTGACGTTGGACCTAATCATTTGGTATATATTGGTTGAGGAAGCACTGGTTCATTTAGACTGTTATGCTAAGAAAGAAGAAGAAGAAGTCTGAAGTCATTTTAAATAACAATTAAATATATATTTAATTTGGTATGTAACATATATTAAAAGTTTTATTAGTCATTAAAATAAATATATAGCCTTTGAAGTATAAATTTTTTTACTCAAATAGTTAAAATATTAATAAAAATTTACTGGTTGAATTTAATATCCATTAAAAACCTTTTAGCGGAACATTGATAATTAAATGTTATAATATTTGATTTTTACACAGTAAAAGTTATTTATTTAATTATTTCATTCACTTTTTAAATAGACCAATGAAAATGTCTATAGAAAAATAAAAAAATTTGCCACGCGAATTATTTTTTTTTTGTCTATAAATTTAAAATAAAACATTTACGATTTTTAATTAAATTGTAACATTTGAATACAAATGATTACTATTTTAATTTGTTTTTAATTTATTTTTCTTTTGTTTTTGTGTAATCAAATGATATGCATAAATTAGAGAATTGCAGGATAGAACTTCAGGCACATGTTGAGATCAAATAATTTCCATTGTGAGTTGTGAATACAAAGAACAACAAAAATTAGTTGGGACATTAATTACCTCAGCAACAAAACTGGTAGTTACGATGGCAGAGGGAAAAAATATAAATTAAAAGAGTCCATGAAATATGGCAGCAAACGAAGGCAGTATTGTGCCCATTTATTTGCCATGGCGTAAAGGAAGTTTATGGCCCTATGACTTTATAACTTTAATAGTTGCTTTATAATTACAAACGAGTTCAGAATAAATTTAGAGGAATGGAAAATATAGAGTAACGAAAATTTATATAAAATTTATAATAAATTAAGTTTTGATGAAAAAACTTTAAAATTAAAACAGAAATTTTTTGATAAACACAAATGAAAATATATCTCAATATTAAAATATTATTTTAGTTGAATCATTCATCATGTTATAATTGTATAATATGATTTGTGTTTAACGAGTTCTGAAGTAATTGTAGATAGCTTCATTAATCTACTTTAACACTACACGGTATTCACTAGAAAGAATATATTTATTTTAAAATCCTTTTTCTTTAAGTATTTATTTCGGTAGAAATTAAAACACAATCCGTTTAATTAAATCAGGGCAATCCAAAGCACGACCCACGGGTGTTATCCGGACCGCAGCTAATATACATGCAGCCCGTGACAAGTTTCTAATCTACCACAATTTGGCAAATTTTTCTTTATTATATTTTGTGGTATCCCAAATAAATGAATAAAAAATAAATAAATGAACCTACGTATTTATTTCTGCGACCCCCTAATCCATTCAGTGATTTGTATTGGCCCACAATATTTTCTGGTCTGGACAGTTTTGAATTAAATCATTGAGACCGGTTTCCCGACACAAAATAAGCTCAACTAATCGTACTCTGTGAAACATATTGCTACTGGTATCTAGCATCATCTATATAACATAGCTTTTATAAAAGCAACTGAAGAAAAATTTGAGTTTTATTTGAAATAAAATACTAGCAAAGAATATTTTTAAAATTTTTAAATAAAAAAGCTAAAAATTTTGTTTATAAAAATATGAAGTCATTTAGGAATTGTGTGAAAAGATTCTTTATTTATTATATATTGCTTTTTAATAAAATTATAAATATAATAACATTTAATTGCAAGTTAAAAATACGAATATTATCCAACCGCTGTTAATAGTTAATTGTCTTGTAATAATATATAAATCATATATTGATAATATGTTGAATAAAACATATCATGTAGTCACAATCATTGCCCCTCTTTTAGAGAATTTGCCAAAATAGTCTTTCTAAAAGAATGGTTCTTTAAATGTGATATAGTTCTTGTTGCGATTTCATTATTATTTGATAAAAACATCTCTATTAAAAACAATAGTTTATATTAAGAATTAAGTTGGTTTCATCAAAATGGATATTAAAAATCAATTTCTATGTAAATCATTTCTCATTCTTTTAAATTAACTACTCTCGAAGTCGCCAAAAGCTTGGTCTATTAGTTTCTGCTGCCAAATATATCGATATCGAAAGAGAGTTATTAATATAAAAATCCTAACTCTCTACCATTTTTTCTACGGTTTTGTTACATCTTATCTATGTTGACTAAATCAAATATTTATTGGCGTTGAATATAGGAAGTTTATCGAATGTTTGAAGACAAAGTATAGAGTCTATCATTCATACAGACGTATTCAAATATTGTTTCCTTTCTATCGTCATAAAATAATTATTAAGAGTAGTATACTAAAGTATAAAGTTTCACAATCAAAATATCTATTTATTATATTAAGTACTGGTAAGTACTGAAATAAAAAAAATAAATAAATCATGTTGCATAGTATTTATTATGTGCTGATTATATTATCAATACTGGAATGTCTATCCCTTAATCAGCTCATTCCCCT